TCCCTTTGCCACTCAAATAAAGTATCATGACTTCTACAGGAGACCAGGTTGTACAAGTGAGCAACAACTTGGGAAAGCTTCTAACACTCACATGCTGGTTAAACCAAACCCAGTGTGGTCATGCCCCATAAGTTTACTTGTTTACAAGGACACATTTAAATTTATATGTTTCTAATGTTTTCTAATGTTTCTAATGTTTTCTAATATTTTTACACCATTAGTATCTTGACCCATTTACACATTTGTCTGCTGATTTTTATCACAGAAAATAATTTGGCTGGAAAGCGTCCCAGGATCCAGAGATGAGTTACAAACGGGAAATCATTATCTCCATTTCCTCTGCAGTTACCACCAAACCCCAATGCAGAGCAGTACTAATAGCCAAACATTGCTACTGAACGTTTTTTGACTCAGCCTTGAAAAATAGGGCCAGATGATTTTATGTCAGATGACTTTTGAGCAGCTGAAGCCAACTATCCTGCTGTAGACCCAGAGTGTTTTTTCAGTCCATAATTACGTTTCCAAACCATGTTTCTCTCCCGAGAACTGCTTTGTCAATGGTGCTAAATCCTTAAGGCAAGACTTGGGACAGACTGTACTGCTCACATTCTCCCCATCATCCACCCACAAGTTGAGAACATTTCCACTAAAAACATCTTTCTGTATCACCTATTAGCAAGAGCTTTAAAGAGCAAGCTTATGTTTTTTCTCATTTTGGCTACTGCTTTTAAATTTTAACACTGAAATAGATGTTTCCCAATCCAACTCCTAGCCTGTGTTGCAGTGGTTAGAATCCTGGCTCACCTAAAAGACATGGCAGATATTTAAAATAGACACTGCAGAGAACACCTGGTCTCTCAACAAAAGGTTTGGACACTTTCTGTATGAGAAATGCCCACATGGGCTTCCTCAGTCACTCCCATCAACACCACCATGGGCACTCAGCACATCTCCCAAAGCTGCAGTCACGAGGAGGTCGTTGCTATAACGGGAATGGCAAAGGCTCAGTAAGTAGGAGGAGGCAGGTGGAGGAGTTACCAGCAGAAATATGCACAACACCATTTTCCATGCATAATTACTGCTCAGAACTCCAGATCTTCAAATTCAATCACAGCAGAGTTTCTCTTTTGTTCTGTTCACTCTCCATAATTAAGGATATTTCTAGGTGACAAGAAAATTTTAAATCCCAGTGGTGTGTAAAATAGGGTAACTGGTGGAAGATGCTGGCAGGATGAAAAACATTCACATGTTTAAATGTAAACTTTATAAAGAAAAAAAAGACAGAAATTTATTTATCCTTTTCCATACTCAAAAGGCTGAGAGAACCAGGACTGTTCAGCATGGAAAAGAGAAGGCTTCAGGGTAACCTAGCTGCCCCTTCCAGAACTTGAAGGAAGCCTACAGGAAAGATGGAGAGAGACTCTTTACATAGGCTGGAGTGAGAGGACAAGGGAGAATGGCTTCACACTGAATTTAGATGAGATATCAGGAATAAATTCTCCCCTGTGGGGGTGGGGAGGCCCTGGCACAGGGTGCCCAAAGAAGCTGTGGCTTCCCCTGGGACAGTGGAAGGTGTCCCTGCCATAGCAGGGGGTGGAATGAGATGGCCTTTAAGGTCCCTCCTAACCCAAACCATTCTCAGATTCTATGACAGTTAGTGGACTTATAAAGCTTATTTTCAGAAAAACCCCACTATCATACTTCTGAATGTGTAATTTTTCTAAGTTATACAAAATTCCATGCATTTCCTAGAAAAAAAAGTTATTATATAGGTATCTAAACCTCACTGCTTTACTAAATTTAATTTATTTTTCATCCATCAAAATCATGCTAAAAATGTCAAAAAATGTCAATATATCTCTTATTTTTTGCATCTTTCTAGCACAAATAACACTCTGCATCCTTTTGCCTACCTGTTTCCAGCTCCTTTAGAGCAGTTTCATCCAGCCTGTATCTCTTTATTCTATCAAGTTTAATACTTCTCTTCTGTTGAGGCAGGAGGTGCATTCCCATATAACAGAACAAAATTAGTTGGCTCTGATGTGATTTGTGCTCGACAAATCTATGTTGACTTTTACTTACCATCTTGTTAGCTTCTTAGTGCTAACAAGTAGTTTATTTGTTCCACAACTTTTCGCATTTGTCATCGGATTGCAGCTGACCTTCTTAGGGAGATTGAGGCAAAACAGCCATTAAATACTCCAGCTATCTTGGAAACATCTGCTCATGGCTTAATGTCCCCTTTAATCTGTTCGGTTATTTCTTGATTTTGTAAAAAAAGTGGGGGCTTGCTGGGAAAGCATTATAGAATTATTCCTTTTTTTTTTTTTTGTCCTGGATGCCCTTTGCTAGTTGTATTTTTCCTGCAAGTTTCTGTCTCTTCCCATCCCTGCTTGTGCAATTTCATTTGTCCTTTTTTATATTGCCTTCCCAGCTCCATTTCACCACAGAACATGATACAGACTTTCTGTTGTTCCCACATATTTAATCTTTCCTTCATACTGAAGCAATTTGCTTTTGTGCTCTTCAACAGTATCACTCACAAACAGACAACTCTCAAATGCTTTTTTCTCCATATCAGTTTACCTATCTCTGATCCTTATTGACACCTTCCGTGCAGAGTTCACAATCTTCACAGTAACATTTTCTTTGCTGCCTTTTTGATGTTACTCTCAACTCACTCATTCCATGATCATTCATCCCAAGTTAAGTCTCACAATGGGGTGTAATCATTGGCTATAATCCAAATTGGATCAATTATCACATCATTTTCCAGTAACTTCCACTTAGCAAACAAACTGAAGTATTAAAGATGAGTCACAAAGTTGCTAGACTAGTGGCTTTGTATGCAAGAAAAAAAGAAATCCCAAACACTTTAAAACAGACAAATACACTTTAATCCCTTTTTATCTGAGCCTTTAAGTTCTATTGACTTATAAGTATTACTTTTTATATTTCTGACAAACTAGAAATGAAGTAACTTTTTCTCTGTGTTTACCTCTAGGTCTGACCCCTCTGATGGCAGTGTTGTTATTCCTGCTGTCCACAGATCCCCACTGTTATCCTTTGTCTGCTCCCCCTTTGCTGACAGCCATTGAAATAGGAACATTTTTGTATTGAGAACATGGGAACCATCTCAAATGGCATTTCAGCTGCTGCTCCAACCTTCTGATTGTTAATCCACACCTGGTGCATGTTGTTCCTTCAGCCCTTGAAAAACACTGGAACTTTCAGCAATTCCTCACTTAACCTCCCTGGGAAATAACTCTTGGCACCAGCAGGTTCAGGGATGTTTATAATCCAGCACATGTCCAAGGCAGTAATGCTGAAAGCCACTCAGCCTCCAGTGTGAGCTGCTTGGGTAAGAAATTTATCAACCTCCAAACCATTTCAGAAGTCAATTTGTCCCTTTCATTTCGAGTACAGTTTGCAGAAGCCTTGCTTGGGTTTTTTACCTTAATGTACTATTTCCCAAGAGGAAATAAAATGTTTTAAAGTAGATATAAAAACATAATTCTAAATTTGTAGCAATGTGTTTGTCTGTTTTCTGGTTTCTTCTCCAAAACAGAGCTCAGCCTCATTACACACTTTTTCCCCAGCACTCTTTGGGATGCCAGAAAATGTAAAAATTATGCTGTTTTCATTACAGCAGACCACGGATGCTTAATGCAAAGAGCTAAGTAATAACAACTGTTTGCACAAAAAAGCATTACTGTATATATTTAAATTTGCCTGAACCACTCCTTGTACTTTTTCTCATTATAACTATTGCTTCATTTTTTATTTTTCTTTTTAACACTGGCAAAACCCTTTCCTTAAGGCTCTCCACTCAGTGTTTACATACAAAGTGCAGCCCAAGACAATTAATTTCCTTTCAAAGAAATTCCTGCTAACTACCTCAACTGGAGTGTCCAAAGAGCTGCAAAGATGGGAAGGGTCTGGAGGGGAAGCTCTGTGAGGAGCAGCTGAGGGCCCTTGGTTTATTCAGCTTGGAGGAGACTGAGGGGAGACCTCACTGGGGTCTTCAGCATCCTCCTGAGGGGCAGTGGAGGGTACCAATCTCTACTCTCTGTGCCCAGGGACAGCAGGGAAGTGCTGGAGCTGTGTCAGGGAAGGTTGAAGCTGGATATCAGGAAACACCAAGTCATCAGAGCGTTCTAATACAGACCAATATTTAGTGGGATGGCACTCTGAAGAGATAGAAAACTCTTCTCAGTTACTGTGAGCTGTCTTCCAAAGAGAGGAAAGAACATTCTGTGGCTCTTCCCTCACTTTGAAATAAATCTAAATCTAATTGCTGAAAACTAGGAGACTTTTGACTATGACAGCAAGTGACTGCCAGGACATGCTTTTACCAAAACTCAGAACACTGCACAAACATGGTGTTTTCAGATCAGACCAAGCTGCATTTGCTAAAGTTCCAAGACACAAAATAACTGCTGCAATGCTCTTCTACATACTTTGATGTTTTCAAAACACGGGCTTGTAAGAGAAAAAGCCCACCTTATGTTTGTTAACACTGGTACCAATTAGTTCAATAAACAGAGAGCAGACAAAGGGATGAATGTTAAGAGTTTATGTTGAGAGCAATACAGTGATTAGAAAAAGCTATTTTGTGACAAGCCTGGAAGCCAAGGAGTGGAGGAGAGTTAAAGGAGGCACACTCAAACCGCAGCCTGGCCCTGTCGTCATTTGTGCTTCTTAACCAACAGCCCTAAGGAGGAAGCTACAAAACACCATTCAGTAATGTCTGAAGTCAAAGTCAGAAAACTAAAAAATTCAACCATTCTGTACCTTTAACTCTTCACTAAATTTCCTATGCAAAGACTAGTACCCTCTGATCTTCCCACATAAGGATTGCAGGGCCAGCAACTCAGGATTTACCAGCTCTGTCCTTCCAGCTGGGCCACAAGAACACACCACATGTTTATTCCCAATATGTTTGCTCTGCTCACAGCTCTCTTCCTAGGAAGCTTTTTAGCTGTTTGACACATTCCTACCTGATCTGTTTGCCTTCCCGGACATCGTACAAAGAAAAAAAGACGTCTGTGTCCTCTCCAATGGTGTTGTAGGTGAAGCTCTTCAGGCTGAGGAAGAAGTGATGAGGCACTGGCATCCGACAGGCTTCCCCATGCCGCTGACGGATCGTGTCCACCTGATTCAAACCAGGGAGAACCATTGGCACTTCCATATATTCCATATACTTCTATATATTCTTCTAAATAAAGGACACCTGAACAATTTGACCCCTTTAACTGACATCCTGCTCTCCTCTCACCATCAAGGAAAAGCTTAATCTCAAATATATTCTGCATCAGAGATAGGTGTAAGATTAAGCTTTCTGCCTCTATTTTTAACACTTCTAATTTGAATAGATTGATGAAACTGTGATAACCAAGCAGAAACAAAACAAATGGGTTATGCATTGGAAATCTGATTTTATCAAGTAAACCAAATCAATCCTATTTCTCAAATTTTGCCTTGATTCTGGTACTGAAAATGAATTATAAAGACGGTATTGGGGTGGTTCCTGATGATTTCCATTTAAAGTATATAGACTTCAAAGCATTTTTAGTAACATTTGTTACATTATTTCTTTTGAGAAGCTGCAATTTCTTTCTAGAGGTCATTATGTGGCCTTCAGAATGAGGACAGTGATGTCCCCCGGTACTGGGCACTGCTGAGGCCACACCTTGAATCCTGGGCTTTGGGCCCCTTGCTGAAAGGAAGAACTGAGGTGATGGAGTCTCTCCAGGGATGGGAACGGAGCTGGGGAAGGGTCTGGAGCACAAGTCAGATGAGGAGCAGCTGAGGAAGCAGAGGGGCTCACCCTGGAGGAGGCTCAGGAGGGACCTTATTGCCCTCTGCAATTCCCCGAAAGGAGGTTGTTGCCAGGTGGGGTTTGGTCTCTTCTCTCCAGGAACAAGAAACAGGATAAGAGAAAATGGTTTCAAGTTGTGCCAGGGAGGTTTAGGTTGGATATTAGGGAAAAATTCTTCACTGAAAATGTTGTCAAGCACTGGAACAGGTTGCCCAGGGAATTGGTGGAGTTGCCATCCTTGGACGGATCTAAAAGATGTGTAGATGTGGCACAGAGGGACAGTTTAGTTGTGGGCTTGGCAGTGCTGGGGAACATTTGGACTTAATCTAGATTAAGATCATTTTCCATTCAAAAACAATCCATGTCTTAGAACCAGGTTTAACAGGCCTGTTTGTCCTGCAGGTATAAAAAAACTTAACAAGGGTTGATAACATGAGCAACCGATCAAGCCAAAGTTTACATTTTGATTTAACATACCAAGACCTATTTACAGCAGTGAATGCTGGGGTGGCCAAAGAGAAAAGAGTGTAAGTAAATGTATGCTTTCAGATTTTACAACTCTTCACATCCATTCATGGTGATCTTAATAAATAGGTTGCATGAATATCATAAATTCATTATGCTCATCACCTCTGAATCCATGGACAGGTAGATTCTAACAAAAAAAAAAAGTCTTAAAATGTCCAGAATTAAAGTTCAGATTTGTACTGAGAAAAGGAATTTTGTTCTGGATTTTAAATTAAATCCAAGGAAATCCACATTCTTTAAAGACAGGTACCTGTGGAAGCACAGATCTCTGTAAAGATCAAAGCCAGGTTCCATGACCAGGACTGGATTATATCAGTACAGAAAGGATGTGTGAAACAGAAGCCACTAAGCCACACGTTAGCAGGTAGAGAGAAGAGTCACACAGTCAGAGTGAGGCTTTTGATCTCACTACACAATTTTATCTTTTAAGAACAACAGTTACAAGCTCAGGAAAAGATACCTAAATGGAAATTTGAAGAAGGAGCTTAGTGACTTAAATACTTGGGAATCTTCTGAGGAAGTGTGCCGTGGGTAAGGACTTACCCAGTAATCTCCATCATACCTTTACCTACATTACCAAGGACTTAAAGGCTACAAAAACTTCAAATGTGGATGGTATTTACCTGTGACGTGCTCTGCTGGACACTGTGTCTACTTGACAAATGCTGTGGAGATACAAAATAGTAACATATAAGCCTTTTAAAAAGTAAGAAATATTTACATTATATTTATGTAGCATTAGAGCAGTAATTCTAAAATATTACTTTTAAAATTATTACCAACTTTCCATGGCATTTTTTTCACAGTGTATCATCACACACACTTTCCTAAAGGCTTTTCTCAGTAAAGCCTTTCTTAGCCTAACTATTTGAATTTACAGGGGGTATTTACCTTAGCTTTTACAGTAAATTGCTGTGACAAGTTAGACAGAATTTCGAAAAGAAATGCTATTACAGTGTTGGAAATTTCATTATTCTGTATAATCTCTGTCTTCTCCTGCGAAGTGGGAAGATACCCCACCACTAATCCTCACCTCCTGGTATGCTGTCTGTGAAAAAGTGCATTTGTTAAAAAAAGCCAGTCATCGAGAAAGAAAGATGTATTTTAGATAAATAAAGTTGTTAAAACTTTTCACTCTAATAAGAAAATGAAATACTGAAAAATGATTGATGGTTCTACAATTTCAGCTGCGCAACACCTGTAAAGAAGCATCAGTATAAAAGAGCTACATGGCTGGAAACTCAAAGGATGATGTTGTATTTAAAGCCTTTTATGCTAGAAGATGTTATAATCAGAAAATGGACTGCAAGACTCACTGAAGCCATTTAATCTCCAAAGGGAGATTTAAATACTAATCTAAATTGAAAAGGTTTCAGAGAGCTTTAAAAAAAAACATCATTAATGATTCTGCCATGCCTTTCACTGAACATCATCTTAATATTAGCATTTTAAGCTACAATATTAACATTTACACTACCACACATGATTAAATACTCTCTTCATTCACCCCACCTCTCTATTAGAAACCCAACATCTTAATCTGACAAAACACTTACACTCTGTATCAGAATTAGCAGATCTGTTGACAAACATGAAGCCTCAAAGGACATAAAAATAAAAGATTGTCCACAGAATGTATTTGGCATCTTAAACTACAACACCATCTTTCACACAGAAGGCAAATAAGATTTTTTTGCCACAAAAGGAGAAATAACCTTCATCATGAGAATAACCCAAGGAGATATTGGGGTACTGAGGGAGCTGGCAGAAGTGCTCACTGAGCCACTTTCAATCCCTCACAAGCAGTCCGGGCTAACTGGAGAGGTCCCAGTTGAACACAAGCCAGCAGCGGGCCCAGCTGGCCAAGGACACCCCATATTTGACTCTGGTGATGCCACATCTCAAATCCTGTGTTCAGTCTTGGGCCCCTCACTACTGGATCAGCCATTAGGGAAAATTTTGTCACCCAAAGTGTTGTCAAACATTGGAAGAGGCTGCCCAGGGCAGTGGTGGAGTCCCCACCCCTGGAGGGATTTAAAAGATGTGCAGCTGTGTCCTTGGGGACAGGGGTTGGTGGGGCATTGGCAGTGCTGGGGGAATGGCTGAGCTCAATGATCTTAAAGGTCTCCTCCAAGCTAAACAATTCTGTGATTCTAAATGGCATATTTTGACATCTGTTTACATTCACAGTTATAAAAATGTCCTCTTTCACGCTCTCAGTAGAAAAATAATGATCTCCAGCTCCATTGTTTGTCTAACTATTGCACCATCTTCTGAATGTTAAAAGCCTTCAAGCTGGCTGAGATGCCTATTTAATCTTTTTGTCACCTGCAACAACTCAGCATCAGCTGGCATAGAAAAGACCAGTTATTTAAGCTATTCAAGGTGTCCTGACTTCTTTTGATTAAATTAATCTCTAAATTCCAGTAAGAAAGCAAGACACTCAAGCAACACAAATATGAGAGGTGGTCTGAAGAGATTCCACAGCAAACACTGTTGCTTACAAAGTGTACACTGAGGTAAATCTATAAAAATAAGGGGTAAAAACCTCAGGTTTTAAATTTTTCCACAATCAAAAGATTAGATTTGACTAACTCTCTGCTTTCATGCTTCAGAACCACATTATAACAATACAATCACTGACTGAGTTAATTTATGTGCCCTTGCCTCTGGCCAGGCAAAGTGCCCAGAGGGTATGTGCCATTTTTGGGTACTTGGATGGGAGGGTGACTGAAAATAGCCAACATGGATTTATCAGGGGTACATTATGCTGGATCAAGTGATTCCCCTGAAGTAAAACAACCAAATCAGTAGATGAGGGAAGATTAGTGGCTGTTGTCTCTCCCCAGCTCAGCGAGGCCCTCAGCACAGTCTCCCACAGCATTCCTGTGTCATTCCCAAGCTGTAAACTTACACCTGCATGGGCAGACTAAACTGTTTGGTCCAAAACCCCCAACAAACAGCAGGATTTGCAGGCTCCAAAGGTAGTGGCTGATGGTGTGAATTCTTCAGGGTCTGTCCTGAGACCTATGCAGCCTCAAATTCCCAGATGATCCTAAACTGGGGGCAGCAGACTGGCAGGGTCCTACTAAAGCAAGCTTAACATAAGTCAGGGGGGCACTCCGGCAGCAGGGACATTTTACAATTTACTGTTTCTGTTATCAGGAATGGAGCCAGTAGACTGAGAATAACATTTATTCCTTTTTCATCAGCACTGAGTAAGCTAGAGCTGAAACACTGCACTCAGCAAAGGCCAGCGAAGCAGCACAAGGTGTTTGAGGAGGATGGAGGGAATGCAGCATTTTGAGTCTGGAGTAGAGAAGGTTTGTAGGTGACCCGTGGCAGCCTTCCTGTAACCATGAAGGTCCCAGCACCAAGAGGCAGCCAGGCTCTCCACAGAGCTGCACAGCAAATTGGCCAAAATACCGTGGCCATCAATTACAGCATGGGTTATCCCAATGCTGCAACAAGGAAAAATATAACTCCATCAGGGTAGTTATTAAAAACTAATTAGAACATAAAAACAGAGATCCAATCCTTTGAATTTTTTTTTTTTTTAATTCTTTGAATCCTTGAAGATTTTCAACATCCAACTGGACAAAGCACTGAGCACTGAATGAATTGTCTGATTTCAGTATTGACCTTGCACTGAGACCAGAAAGTTTGCTTAGACCTTCCTGAGGTCCCTTAAAACCTGAAAAGTCTTCCAAAGTGATATAAAAATAGAACTGTTTAGAAATTATTCATCTTCAGTCTAAAAAAACAAAAAAATCAGTTTTACCTTTATTTTTCCCAAAAGATAGTTGTAAATGTTGTGCAAACTTTACCAGATACAACTTTCAGTATATTTTTCCTCATCAAAGTGTTTTCTGATGCTTAAGCTCATTCCTTGCTATTGTAACTTAGGCATATTGATTCTTTTCTTATCCATCATTAGAATAAAAAGATAATTAAGCTTGTGATTTCATTATAACCTTACATCTTGTCTACAAAACCACTTAAGCTTTTAGAGTCCCAATCTGTACTTCAGAGCCAACAACTGACTGCAGGAATTCAAATCTTACATTTATTATCCCCTCTGGTACAAAACCACATTTTTCAAATAATTTCTCCAGTTTCTCAATATTATTTAGAATTTTGATCCTTCCCTCCACTGAAAGAATCAGAAATACCATTTCCAACTCTGTGGATTTTGTATATTTAGGAAGCAGACTCCTTATTCCAGCATCTAGTCCTTAATTAAACTCGAAGCACTTGAAATGGAAGATGATCCCAAGAAATTCAGCAAATTCATCCCTCCTCCTATTTAATCAAATTATTGACAACCTTTTATTTTTTTTTTTTGAGTATGGGTTTTCTAATTAGCTCTGTGTTTACATTACAGTAATTTCATCTAGAACTAATGACCTTTAGAGAGTTTAAATTAAAACAAACATTTAGAACCTTTATCAAAATCTAAATATGGCATCAGCTGCTTCTCCTCCATTCACTGGACTTATCTATGTTCTGGAACTTTATTAAATTGCTTATTCTGGACAAGTTTACACTCACTATTACTCATACCCTTGCTGTAAGTAATTTTCTACTGTTATTATTATTATTTTTTTTTTATTATTATTTTCTAGCATCTTTTACAGGGAGAGAATAATTTCCAGCTCCTCCTCCATCACCTGTTTTTAAGGTGTGAAACTGGCTTGCCCTTTGCTGGTATTCTGGAACCTTGCCCATCTTCCCAATGACTATCACTAACATGTCTGATATGGCTTCTCCAAAGATCCCAACTGGAATGTATATAGTTCCATACCCCATGGAACTGAAAACTTCTTGATAAAGAATTGATAACTCTTGATAAGAGTTTAGTGGGGCAAGAAGGATATTAAGTGCCACATTATTTTATTGCATTAGATGCCAGTTGGTTTTCCCCAGTATGAAAACTTTCCTTTAGCTTTCCAGTTAGTACCAGGTTATTTATATAAAACTGTTTCTCCATGCAACTGACCATATTAGCTTGTTATATCTGAATTTGTGCATTGCCTTTCTAATTTTTCTATTTACCCATTTGTGCTATTCTATTATACTCCTCTATAATTCTGTTCTTGTAAACTGGCTCTCAGTAATCTCAATTTCCTTTCACTCTAATGCCTGGGGGAAATGAAGGAATTCTTAATTCATCCAACTTGGCCTGTCAGTGAACATCTTGTGGTTTTGTTCTTAATTACTGAAAGAGCTAACAATTCTCCTTACCTTCACTTTCTCATCAAACCTCTTTCACATGATATCAACCAATATCAGTTTTCAGTGTTGCTCTTCCTCATTCCTTTCCTAACAATGCCTGGTGAGTGAATCCCATCATTCCCAAGTCATCTTAAAAAGCTTTCTGTCTTCATATTCTCATTTGACTTCTTACTGGGCTTTAGAACCCAATGTGCACCAACCTGTTCTGTCAATCTGCTTTGTTTACAAGGAACAACCAAGAAAACCATAAAGATTTTATGATTTTTCTGTCCAGTTTGTGTCCAGTTGTTTTCCTTACCTAGTAGAGTTTTGGGTAACTGAAGCCTTATTTTCTTGACTATTCCTTCTTACAAATCACATTTACCATTTGAATAAAGAAGAAACAGTTATGAGGTGATGGCAGCATTAATTTGAAACTATTTATTTAGGAACTCTATTTTTTTCCATTAGGAAAATATAATGGCACGAATGGCATTTCTCTCACACAATTGGTAGAAATGCCTAAGCTGCAGCAGTTACACAGCCAACAGTTGTGCCTTCCATACACCTCCTGAATTTGTCCTGAAGACACATACCCACTTCAATACCTTTATAGAAGAGCTAAACCTAATTAATCAACAGCTTTGCACATTTCTGATTTGTGAAACAACTTCAGACATTTGTGTCTTGTAACCCTTCCACTAAAATGTGCCATCCAAGTGTTCCTGACATTCTGCAGGACTTTGTGTTCCTAAATGACAACTTCAATCCAGTGGCAACTCCAGTACTGAGCTCTGTGGCAGAATTCTGAGAACATATTTTCCCACCATTCAAAAGTAATATGTATTTTTAAAAAGTGTTTTGTCATATTGGTTATAGTCACAAACATTGTCATAGGGAAAGGGCAATTTGCTTTCCTTCAGGAGCGAAGCAACAATTCCTGACAAATGCTCTGCACCCTGCAGCCACTGGCATTTAGCTTCATAATGAGTAACGTGGAGAAGCAGGATGTGCAAGGCCTCAGAGCACAATAGTTCTGCCAAAGAGAAGCATACAGCATCACCCAGCAGTCACAGACACACTTAGCAATGAAACACGAGAGCTAAAAAGAGGCTCAAATTTAACAACTTACAATTTATCAAGAAGAGAAGTGCTAAGTCTAATGACTGAGTAAAAAATGCTTGAATCTCTGTTGTCACAGAGAAAAAAATCTGATGTATTACCTCACCCATTTCTCTGCTAATGAGTGTTTTCTATGTTACATTTAACATCCTACAATCCTGAAAATATAAGAACTATTTGGCTCTCTCAACTATTCTTGCAAGATTATTTTAAGATGTAAAACCTCACTGCTCATTTGAGTATCCATTTCACCACAAGTAAGGAGGAGTCCCTCTCTGTGTTTTTGCTAAATAATAAAAACAATCCTCAGACCACATTAAAATAACCCTAGAACAACCTAAGTCACCAACATGCCCTTCCTTCATTTTTTACTATATTTAAGTTAAAAAAAAGTAGCAGGATTTTAGCTGCTTTGGTTCCTGAAAGTGCCTTCTGACCATGAAGAGATGGGATTAGACAGCACTGTCCTCTTGCATCTACAGACTCCAGCAGCAGTCAAGTGTGAAGTGAGTAATGGTGCTGTCCTGAGCCCCGCCCAGGATGGAGCAGCACAGAGACAGTCACAGGACTAGGGGGTGACATAATCAGGCTGCTCTGACAAGAAATATTGCCTATTTGCAGTACTCCAAGTATTCAGAGCAAAAAAATGTGCAGAATAAACCTCAGAGTAATAAACCAATCCTTAATTAGCAACTAATCTCACAGCCTGAGTCTTCATTGATGGAATTTTCTACCAAGTTATTTCCACACTGTACTGAAGGAAAACTCTGTACTGGCACCAAACTCTCCTCAGACCACAGCAAAGTAGGAACATACTTTAAAAATTAGCACGATAAACTGGTGTACTTTCATATTTCTTATGCAATAATTCTTCTTTCCATTAAATCTGCTGTTACATGGTGCAAATAATCCATAGGAGCAGGAAAAGTCACATCGTACAGACCAAACCCATCACCAAGCCATGGACCTCTCTGCCCCTAATCTTTAATAGCTGAAAGTCCAAACTGTTTTAAAAGGAGATTAAAAGCTTCCTAGAAGTGAGTGACACTGTAACAACATTATGTAGAAAACAACAATTTTCTTTGAAAGCTATTAGGTGAAGAAGTTGTATAAAATTATTGCTGAGGGGTTTTTATTTAGCTTTTTTTTTTTTTGATAAAACAGCATCTGAGGAAGGGTTTTCATTCACTTTCCTGAATTTTACATGTTTTTCCCTCTACAGTTACATCACAATTTAAACCAAAATTATCTGTATTAGTCCTACTAACAGAGAATCCAAACACAGTTAAGTTGTAAAATGCATCAGTGGCTTTACAGTTCATTAATGGCACAATTCACATTTTCAAAACAACTTCAACTTCATTATGTATAAACAGAACTGTACGAGTGACTAATAATGACAAACTTGCAATAAAGTGTACTTCACCTGAAAATCCAAATATTCAAATACACTCCATGGTTTCTAAGGAGCACTGACATACAACAGGGATGGCCTTAATGTTCGAGGATTAGTTTTGCTTAAATTATGCTTTTTTGTGAGCTCAAAAGGTCTTTGTAACAGGGCAAAGATGTTTATTATCTATGCAACCACTAACCCAGACTTTTCACTGCAAATCTGCTCAAAGAATCAAAAAACGGATCTCACGGACTTTCCGGACTCAGAGAACCTTCCCAGAGTTAACACCATGTTACTTTGTAAATTCAAATTAAAATGTATCAAAGCATGCCAAGGCTTAGGGTACAGGAGACACTGTTCTGGTGGTCAGGCTGCAAATGAAAAACATGTTTAACTTGTAACACCATTTGAAACAAGAAAACATGTAAGAGTAAAGAACAAAACAATTTTCCCCTATTTCCCTCCCACAGTAAAATCTCAAAGGAATCTCCCACAGAATTTCTTACCATTTTATAAAGGTCTGAAACACTGATCTGATCTGAATCCACAACCTCGAAGTCCTTCCGTGGAACTAAGTCAAGGCCCAAATGTCTGCAAAAGAAGGAAGGAACAGTGTCAGTGTGGCACAGGAACGGTCAGCAGCACCTCCTGCACGTGCCTCCTCCAGGGCAGGGACACAAAAATACCCAACTATTCCAGTCTTACTGCAGTTGTTAACCACTGAACAATTCTAAAGAAAATCCTAATGCAAAGTTTTAAAAAATCCCACTATAAACTTACTACTTCTTCCCTGACTTCAGTGGAGCTCTGGCAAATAATGCAGGGGAAGCTTATGGCCAATATGTTGGTGCAGTGCCCAAAACAAGGTAATTTTATACAAGCAATTGTAGCAGACAAATAAAGTTCATACTCTGGTTGCTGCTGAAGTATTTGAGGAAGATCCTACATAATGAAAAACTTCCATTAATATTCAAATGTGCCAACAGATCCTGAGCCTTGGGAAGCTGCTTTGATTTTCCTGGTGTTCATAAAACTGAACCCCCATGTAAACATAATATTTGTTGTTAGTAATAAACAATAACTACAGTAACAATAATCCTAATCTGTATTTGTAACACAGAGAATATTTTTAAGTATTCCAAACAGAAATAATATTTTGGTTCAAATCAAATATATAAATTGATTTAAAAAAACACCAGTGCAAAGATGACTAGGTAAGGAATTCAGCTGTAGAGAAGGCAGTTCAGGTCACACTTCACAGCATTAGCAGACAGAATGAGATATTCTTTATCCAGACAAATAAATGCAAACCGTTAATGATTAATTAATAACTGTAGACTGTAGAACAAGACAACCTTAAAGGTGACAAACCCCAAGTTTTGCTCCATAGATCTTCAGTTTCTGAGGCACAAAGAGTTCTGAGCGTTACAATGAAAAGCTACACTAAACACACAGAGTACATTTTTTAAAAATCCAACACATGAATTAAACATTTTCCTGCTTTTGCCTTATGTAACTTTGATACTTCACTTCTAGACATTTTATATTGAAATTCTTAACAGTCTTAAAGAAAAAAAATCAAAATTTCAGAAGAGGTGCCCTCACGAACTACCTTGGCACTCCTTCTGTCACAAACTATAAAAGAAAAGCAAAAGTCAATTTAATTTTGTAATCAGAGAGGGAAACATTCTGCACAGACTTGTTCCTGATGGCAAATGAAAAATTTTATTGAGAAAACTCTCTCTGGTACTTTAGAGTAATTGTGTGGAGCAATAACAGAAGGCTCCAGGCAATCCAGTGTCTCTTTCTGAGCAATTGGCTTAGAACAACAGCTGGGGAGAACCAGTGGTTTGGAGGAAGCTCAGCTACCTTTGCTCACCATGGTGCTTTTAAACATTATCCAGAAGTTTCCAAACTCTGTAATTCTTTTGTTGAAACTTTGCCTAAGCAGGTTTTCCTTCTTTATTTATATCCCTAACCCAACACATTTCCAAAATACAGCTCAGCCCTGTTCACTTGCCCTGGCAGCACTATATGGTCCTTGAAAACCCTACTGGAATTTCCATGTTCTCAGTTCTTTGCTCAAATCAATTATATTTTCAATGGAAAAAAGGGAGCAGCTTTCCTTCTTCAATGCACTTTCATGTCAAATATTAAATTCTAATGCTACATTGTGAAAGTCATGGTTTCACACTTTGTTTTGGTTAAACCTATCAAACACATGTTGTCTGTGGCCCAAGAGTAGTATCTGAAAACTGCAGCTGCAATGATGAAAATGACTGCATCTATTTACCAAATGAAAAAGATTAAAATAAGGACACACTAGGTAATCTTTACCCACAGCTGCCAGTTGAGCCTACTTATCACAGAAAATCAAAAAATATAATACAAAAAACTGGTAAAATCAGTCAGAGATCACTGCAAAGCCTTTTTTTTTTTAAAAAAAAAAAAGGTTAATGCTCATCAAATTCATTCACAGAAGCTTTCCTGAATGTGAGTATCTAAACAACCTCCAAAACACCCTGTTCATTCACATGTGCGCACACTCCCACCCCTAAAGTACACTGATAATGGAATTTCCCCTCAGCACACAGATATGAACAAATTATTCCCTACTGAGGCTACCAAAGCCATCGTGTGTGCACTGCAGTTCCAGGACAGTCATGGAGCTCTTTTTCAGTTCCCCAGGAAAACCTGGTCAAGCCAATCCCAGCCTGATGAGGTTCTGTTCACATCATTTCAGCTCTCTGGAGTGCTGGGGTGAAGCAGTGCCTCTACTCATTACTCAGAACATGATCTTCTGCTTAATAATGTTCAACACAACTGCAGCAGCATCCCTGTGAAACTTATCTAATACCCTATTTTTAGTTAAATCCCTTAACACCGTGGATTTTCAGCCCAGAAGATTCTCATTCTCTAATACTATGTTAATCCTGCACAACACTTGCTCCCAGCAAATAAGGGTGTCTTGGCTGGAGCACAAATGTGCAGTCATTTACTGTGCAGGTGGAAGTTCAGGTTTGTACACTCAATTTGTATCAATTATTTTTTTTGCCTGTGAAGGACTGACAACATAATGCTTGAGATGGCAATGGCAGTCAGTGGCCCACTTTCCCTCTCTATTATCAAGCACTGGAGGAACAGAAGAGCCCCAGCTGCCAGGCAGTATTTCTCCAAAACAGAGCATGCATAAAAATTACATAATGTGCTGGTTTGTTTATTTGACAGTTCTGTCTCCACAATACTTTCTTTTACAAGCAGATTCTCGTGCTCTTTTATTCTGCCTTCACACCGAACTGCCCTTCAGAAATATTTCCCAAGTATACCTACAAAATATCCCCAAGCCTATCAATTACCTCTTGATTGCATCTGTTTGAGATACTTCAGCTGGCATTTAGACATTCTTTCTCTTCTACATAAGTCTTCACAATTTTCCTTTCTTTGGGGGATAAAAATTTTTAAAATCCACCACCTAAAATCTCTAGATAATTTTGTCTCAAGTAATATGAAATCAAGCCAACTGCCGAAAACACAGGGCTTTTTAATAGTGAAAGGGATGAACACACAACTCAAGGTTACCTGGGCTTCTAGAAAAAATCAGCTTGGGTTTAATGGTAATTTTGAAGAACAGTCCTAATTTCTAGTACATTCATTTATTTATAATACATACACTACAGCATTTAGAATTCATAAAACCATAAGTCAGGACAACTTTACCTAGAAAAACCTTGCAAAAAGATGTCATTTGACTTTAAAAAAAAGAATAAAACCTTTCAGATGCAAACTCAGTCTTTAAGAACAGATTGGGAGAGCTCATCACATCTGTGGCTGCAAGATCTCATTACCTCTGCTCCAAAAATGTCCTCTTTACTTCAACCTTTTCAGCTTTAATTTTGCAGCTACCACTTTTTCTTGTATTCCTTCTCTCAGTATATCAAAGCCTCAATACCATTTGTATTTCTCTTAAACATATGAAGATGGTGAAGGGAAAGAAAATGATCCTGGCAGTGATTCACATGAACTATGTACAGACTTCAATATAGACTTTGGAGGAAATACAATACAGAAATCCACAGAAAATTAAATACATGAAAAAAACATGTTTGTCAAAATGAGACTGCTAGTACAACCTGATGATTTTCTTTGACAGAATTAAGTTATACAAAAAACTGAAGAGGCTGCAATCTACATAGAAATTAGTAAAGTACTGATGTAATGCTTCACAGGAAATTATTTCTTATAATGAAGTTGATGAGATGAAGGTAAATAACCTTAGGAACTGATAAAAGGGAATTGTAGAAAATACCTCTGAGCATAGCAATATCAGGCTAGAGAGAGAGGTTAGTCAGGTTTTCCTCAAAGATTGACTTTCAGCAAAGTTCCTTATGCCTTTAATCCCAACTCAATCATTACTCCAAGCATATTCAGGAGAGGGAAGGATGCTGTACATTCAGACAGAAATGGCAGCTGCTCTTCCTGCAATGCTTAATGCCATTTCTTTATGGTTGTTTAAGCTGGTCACTCCTATTTTGATCTCCTTTGATGTAATGACAGCTACTGCAATAAAACTGCCTTTAATTATCCAAACAGGTACCATCTGTACTTTTAATTCTTAACTCCAGATGCATTCTACTAACTTTAAGCTAATTGTTACGACACTACCAAAAAGGTCATCCTTATTCCTTTTATGTCACAATAATATGACAAGAGGATAAATCACTCCAAGCCCCAAAATAATCTAAGAGTGTGAGCACTGAAATTTAGGGCTTTTTGAAATTCAAGACTGTGCTGACTTCACTGGATCACACAATTCCTGCCTTCCACAGTTATGGATGTCGGTAGTTAGTAGGTACTAACCAACTGCTACTGGCTCTCCAACTGCAATTCTGAGGCAGGAGAAAAACCATGACCTTAAAAGTGTGTTTCATTTTCTCTGTATGACAGTGTAAAAGATTTATTGCTAATATTTTGCCTTTTGTTTTTCTTTTTAAACACTCATTTGTACCTTTTGGTTACCTGTGGATCTTTCTGCGCAGAATTTATGGCAACTATTTAGAAGATTTCTTTTAATGCAATGATTTTAATAACATTTTACGGGAGAAAAGAATAACCTCTGACTAAAAAGTAATATAAGCCTACAAACTCATCTTGTTTATGGCTTTTATCTGTCAAAAATATCAAGGTATTGGTGGCCCCGCCCCCTTACTCTGTTTCTCACCTTAAACATAGAATATATATTCCACATTTATAGGGAAGGAAATGTCTTCCCTGAGTATGCAAGAAAACCTGGATGTTTCCTGGTAATCTTCTGACAGGTGCTACATTAATCTGAAAGAATCAGATTCTGAAGATCAGGTGAGATGACCTCTGATTTTCAAGCTGAATGACTGAAGAAAGCTTCATCTGCCTTTCTGGCACACAAGGTATTGCACATACTGCTGCAATTAGCTTTTGGCACTGAAGCAGAAGCAGAGGATTCACATTTCAAACAGCAGCTCTGTTTTTGGTGCAAAAGTCTCTACAATGAAACAGCTCTTCATCAGCAAAACAGCTGCATTCTGGTTTCCCATTCTAAGCAATAGTAAAAGCTGAAAGACTCATCCATTCACGTAGAAGCAAAAACCTAAACAAAAATTTCAAAATCAAGTATCTGTTTTACTTGAAACGTGACAGAAAATGAGATGAAGAACTGAAGATTCAACTTTATAATATGACTTAAATGAGATGATAAATAGCAAAGTTCTGCTTTTTAATGTTTATTTCCTGCTTTACAACTTTTCCCTTGCTGTTCACAGACCATTGGACACTTCCAATAGCATTTCACACTTCCATAGATCAATATTATGGCCAATTGCATCAGAGTGAAACATTGCTAGAAAGCAGAAGTATTTGCAATATTCTGTATAAATCCATGCAAGATAAGCAGGGAAGAAAACAGCAGATAAGATTTTGACTGTGCAAAAATACACAGAGAGATGCTTAAAAGTGCAAGTCTAAAATCAGCAAGGCGCTGATCTTAAGGTATCTTTGGTGTATTTCCCAAATTCTGATTGGGAAATACAAAAACCTCTGTAGCAGCAGTATCAGCCCTGCATGTGTACAAACCTAAACTACCTGGGGGTGAGTGGAACAAGGAAGAAAGCACAAATGAATGAATGAAAAAAAGGATGAGTCCAAGATCTTTCTTTTGTACAGGACAGAAAGAATGGTAAGCAACAGAAAATGGAATTGCTACGGGAAGGGGCAATCAGTATTGTGTTAGAAGAATGATCAGCAACAATACAGGGGGTTAACAGCAATAACTGTAAAATAATATTCCCACATTTTAATGGGCCAAACTACAAAGCAAAACTTCTTAATATTCACAGGAAGCACACAAAACTTACCAAACTAAATGCCTGAAAACACTCTAAATGAATTCTTTCACAAAAAAAAGAAATCTGTAGCTATTTATCCAAGGTGTGTATCTGTCCCTTGATTTCCAGCAGCTCCTACCAGGACCCAAGAGACAACTTTCAGAGCCACTGCCAGTGTATTTAAGGGAAAATTGTATCAGTTTAACAAAGTGAAAAAAAATCCCTAATTTGTGATGACAAGTATGACTTTCATGTTTGCATCACTCCTTCCCAAATAATACAATTCATTGATGATCAAGGTCAGGATAAATTAAACAAACATTTTATATATTAGATGTGTGAGATTACTATTTCCTGAAAGCTGCATGGCAATGGAATTGTACTGTCTTGAGTAATTACAGCCCTGCTCAAACTGCAGGGAACTCAATCGTCTCAGACAACATTAATAACAATGTCTTTCATTTATTTTATTTGCAAATCTCAAGTATGACAGAACAGCAATTAACACTATTATACTACTTGAGAAAGGGCAGTACTATGTGAATATGCCTATGAAAGTCATTCGTGTTTTACCAGATTAACACAGGTGGTTGTAAGTTTCATGATAAAACTCAGAGGGAGGATAGAAGAAAGTGGCAGAACTCTTCCAGAAATTCTGTGGAAAAGAGTGATGCTGCAGAAATACCCCCAAAGTCCCAGATATTTAGATTTAAATACTGCTTGTATCTTTGATATCATGCATCTCTTTCTCTACGGAGTTCAATACCTGTAGTAAGAAACAGAATTTATTTTTCTTAAACAAGCATCTTGAGTAGGTGAATATAATCATGCATGTATTTACTGATGCTTCTCCATAATTGTCATGCATTAGATTTACCTTTATAGTCTGAATTACACTCCTATTTAAAGGTTTTACATCAAAAAGGGTCTATAGGCACCTCATGAAACAACCTGGTCTCTTCACTGCTGCACTGCTGTCTGTTCTCCTCATCTTTTTTCCCTCACAGCATTTTTGCAGCTTCCTGTTGCTAATTTGATCCATAAACTCTGAGCAAAACCAGGCAGGCATAATGCTCAGAAACAGTCTCTTGGTTCCCCATTTATTCTACTGGGAATAAGAATGGAAAATATCTGCAATTCTGCACTGCAGAAAGACTTGATGCAATCTATTGGTCTATGTCCTTCAGAGCTATCTTTCAACAAGAGAGAAATGAAGTGCAGCAAGGGGGCTGCTAAACCATCAGGGTGTTCAGGTATATCCCTCAGAGGGGGTTTTGAGGTAGGTGGCCAAGAAACAGAATCAAACAAACATAGCTTCATGAAAAACACTGCATGTTCTCCTTAGTTGTCAACTTACAGGACTCTTCCCCACTCCCACATGCTCATTAGCACTAACTCCACTCCCAGTGGGACAGCAGTTGCTGTTTGTCTGAGTGTCATGTGTGTCATGCACAACTTACCTGTCTGATCCACAGCCCAGGACACAAAAGTCTGGCCAAAGGCTGAATTTTCTCTAATGGCAATTTTTGATCATTTCTGTGTGAATGAACTGCAGCTGTCTTTGCCTTTAAAAGAACCTCTCCACAAAATCACCAAGAAGCTGACCAAGGAGACTCTAAACCTCTGAGAAGTGTCATGATACAAAGTCTAAATATCACAGCCTCAGCTCCAGTGTCCCTAGTTAACTGTGAGATTCTCTATTTTTTGCAGCAACCATTAAAATACTTCCTCAATGGAAGAAAAATGAGTTTTAAGTACCTCTGAACACATCCTCCCAGGCCTAATAATCTTTAGGTTGATACCAAGTAAGTGAAGTGACCTAATCCTTTTATAAGGGCAGGGAGCCCTAGGAGAAGCCTACTGGTAAACAGCTCATTTCACACCAAGAGCAAAACTCACTGTAGAAGTCAATAAACTCACGGTAAAAACTTATACTTGATTTTCAAATAATCCCAAGTTCTCCCTGTGCACAAATACTATTGGAAAGAAAACGTTGTGTGGGGGTTTTTTTTGTTAATAAAAGTTACTTGAGAAGAATGAAAAGAAACAGGAGCCAGTACTTACTCATTGCCCCAGTCCAGCCTCACTGTGAGGTGTCTCTTGACCTCTCGCACCTGATCCTGGGTCAGGTGGCCCGAGAGCAGCTGCCTGCGGAGGTCAATGAGCTCATTCATCACATGCCGCAGCTTGTAGAAAAGATCTACCTTATGTTTCTGTAAAGGCACATTTTTGGGAGGAGAGGGGAGGAGGGAGAGAGAAAAAGAGAGGCAGGGAGGGGGAAAAAAGCAGGGGAAAGAAAGAGAGAGGGAGAGAATAAGTTTGGAAAGACAAAGTGTGAGAAAAAGAGAGAGAGACAGAGAGAAAGAGAGATTAATAAGTTACCCAATTTTCATTTAATTACCCTAGAGGAACATCAATCCAGTTTTTATGAGCCTTAAAATATTTACATCAAAAAGTAGTGTTAACTGATGCAATTCATACTAAATAACTACTTTTTCCTGAGGTTTAGGCTCAATCTGCTAAGATGCCCATTTTCTGATGGAACCTAATGCTAAATAAGAGGATTCATTAGGCACAGCAGGAATCGCTTATTCCAATCATACAGCAAATGTAAAATTTTAGATTTCAAGTGATAGAGAGGTGAAAAAGCTTCTGTCAGCAGCTAACTGAATGGCTCTGAGCAGTCAGGAACAATGAGTCACCACAACAAAAAAGCATTTTTTAATTATTTGTGATATTCCATTTACTAAAATTCAGCCAGGTATTGGGGAGGGGGTGGGGGGGTGTGAAAATTCACCACCTGGCACTCTAAAAAAGACTAAAGCAATTAATAATAAAATCCACCAGGAAAACTACTATGAAAGAGAAAAATTCACATAGATAATATAAAAATCCCCACACCACCACCATCAGTAAAGACAAATAAACAGAAAATACCCCCCAAAAATTACACAACACTGTAATCCTTTCCAAAAGAACTGGTATTACTTAACTATAGGGAAAAAAACAAACCTCTTCACCAAAACCAAATCTCCCAAGACCAGACAGAAGTACAGAAGACAAAAATACTTTTTTTCCCCTGCAGGAAATAACTGTATGTGAATTCCTCAAAAAGGAAAGTTTGTGACCAACAACCAAGGCCACACATAAGATAAGATAAAATAAGGACACGTGTCCAAACTACTGCACTCTGTGCTGGGCCAGGAGTGTGTGTCAAGGGGGCTCATCTCCACACTGTCAGTCTGCAATACTGCAAAAACCAGCCAATGTGCCACGAAGGAAGAGCCCAAGAAGGAAAGCAAGATCTCCTGATGCAGCTGGATGCTGTTTTTTGAACAGCTGAGCTCCATTCCCGCTGCTTTGCTAAGCCTGAAGTGTTTGAATCTCACTTGGGAAAATAGGGAGTAGATGGACTGACATGGAGACTTCATCAGCTGGCACTGCCTTGATCACGTCTGCTTCTACATGAGTGGGTTATAAAAGCCCTCTAAATAAAGACACCTGCATCTACCAAGACTACATCTGATATAGGAGCATCCATAAAGAGAAACATAAGTGCTTTCTGTTGCAACACATTATTAGAACAAGTGGTTTTCACTTGTTTACCAAAAATAGCTGAGATGAGATGAAAAAATAAATTCCACCTACTTGAATTTGTTTCCCTATAAGACCACTAGATTTGCATGACTTAGGAAAACAGACATCAACACAATCCATTTTGATCAGCATTTTTTTTAATTTCTCTGAACCTGATTACACATCTGTTTTCCTGAAGCAGGTTAAGCACAGATGGCGTCATCAGTTGTTCCTATCTAACAATTTTAAGATGAAAATATGCACAATACTTCAACTCTGCATCATCACTGGTTTTGGTTCTGCTTGAAAGAAAGCAAAACAGACATCAGACCTAACAGAAAGACATAAATTTCTGGGGCTGAAAATATTTATGCAAGGAAGGTAATCATGCATAACTGTTAAATATAAAATTACTCAATTTTGTTTAGGTTTTACTACTAAATGTGGTCACAAGTAAATCCTACATAAGCTGACAATGACAGTAGGTATGGGAAATGTCCATTTTTATGGTATAGGAAATGTCCATTTTTATGTTATTTATGTGAACAAGAAAAGATTGTCACTTTTTTAAAACACAAGATGAAAACAATTTAGTTTAGAAGTATCAAGAAAGTAAATCAGGTATATTTTAATAATAAAACAGCTGGGAATGGAACTACCATAAGAATCAGGCCCCAAAGCATCATATTCAGACTTCCCAAATAAACCTGCTAAGAGAGCCACTTTCTCACTCCCCTAATTATGGTTCAAGGTTATCAAAGCAGTCAGGTCCAGAACACACGCTGGTTAAATTACAGTACGTTCTATGGTTATGTTTGTTTTAAACAGTAATTTTATACAGGAGTATCAGAAGTACTTTAAATACAAATAAAGGAGACTACAGAACACAAGTGTTTTGCCTGCTTTAAGCTGAATGCACAAGTATTGAGAGAGAGCTAAACACAGGGTGTCCTTCCAGAAAATCCAAGGTCCAGGGAAGGAAGGGAATAAAAGAAGGTGGAAGCCAGCAGAGCTGTGGCTGTGATCTCAGGGAAAGTCTTATGAAGAACCATAGATGCAAGATCCGTGATAATGAAGGAAAAAGTTCATGAGAGAGAAAGGAGAGCTAGTTGAAAGTGGCTTAATTCCAGGCTTGCAGGCAGAAGGGAGTTTAAAGCAGTCAAAAATCAGTTTTTAACATCCCTCCTCACACTACAGAGCCCAGGGACTAATGAGCATCATTTGGGAGAGAAGGAAGGAAGGAGATATTCACGTTTTAATGACTTCTCTCTTTCAAGATTAAAAAAAACCCCTCAAAATTCAACACTAAGCTAAGTTAATCAGGATTCCTATCCCTGTGTAAAAAAACCTGTAAACCAGATGGCCCCAGACACCGCATTTACAGAAACCCCTTCTCCCTAATTTTAAGTATTAAAATCCTTCAATTTTAGTTAGAGTAGCACCATAAATAAACCTGAAACTTTATAATCTTTTTAGCAGTTAAATAAAAGATGTGTCAGTTGGATGTGTAAGCATTCATTCTGTTTCACAGTTAATTTTCATACAATTTCTAACCTCTAATTTTTCCAGCTGGCTTTATCACAAGCTCCCAAGCAAGAACTTATTAGTCTATCCAGAATGATCTGCTGTGTGCATTTATAAACATATTTGTCAAATCTGGAATATAAAATTATTTCTGCAGAACTTTTATAGTAATAATTCAAATGAGTCACAAACAAGGAACCTGGATGACTTAAATGAATTGGGACTCATGTCACAAGCAGCACAAGTCCTCTAACACGTCTTGTTGCCTGATTTTAATATCCCCAGACACAAAACCATTTGTTGTATTTCTTTGATCCATTATAACTAACAAGTCACGCTAATCAATGTTTGGATAATCTTCAGAGGTGCAGCTATGTATCAAAAAGTGTAATTCTGGCAGTGTTTTCTTTTTATGGCTCCATATTAACTCTGTGGAGGTCAAAAGCCAAAAGATGGGTTTGGAAAGATGGCCCTCTCTAACAGGCCGGGGCAAGAGGAGGAAATAATATTTGTGGGCTGGAATAAAGACTCACTGACCACCATCTCAGACAAACAGACCTCCCTTGCAGGAATTTATTTATTGCCAATTCCAGTAGAGTTGGGCAGTGAGATACAAAGACACAAAGAACCCTTGTCCTCAAGCACCCCCTTTCCAAGCCAAACATTTTTTCCCTTTACTCCTCCATCCTTCACAGAATCACTTCCATCCCATAGTGGCAGGAGAATGGAGGGGTCGGTTCATGGCAGCTTCTCCCTCCTCCTCACAGCTTTCCCCTGTGCCAGGGTGGGTTCTGCCCACACAGACGCCAGTGTGGGTCCCAGTGTGGATCCCAACGCAGATCCCAGCTCCACTGCCTGTTCCCCTCCCCCTGCTCGGCTCCAGTGTCTGCTTCTCCCCTTTCCCCCTTCATCTCCCTGCCCCAAAGCTCCTGTCCCAGAGGCCACCTCAGCTCAGCCCTGTGGAAGCAGCTGGAATTGTTCTTTTCCCTCAGCTCCATCCATCTCCAGCACCCTGCCCAGGAGCTCGGGCTGGCGCCCCTGGGCCACAAAGCCCAAGGCACCGAGCAAAAAGCAGGCCCCGCTCCCACCCCTCAGGTGCCTCTGAAACACTGCGGCTGCCTCTGCCATTCTTCTTTAAATAAATGCCACATAACACGAAAATATATAACAGACTGGTATATTACAGCAGATGACGACCTATTTATAGTCATTTTGTTACCATGACTTCATTTACCACCACTGTAAAGTCAGGATTTTGCCTCTCTCAAGAGCAGTCCCTTAAGACATTTCCTATAAAACTGCTGTAAGCTGTAATGGGGGAGAAGGGCGCAAAAAATTATTTTCCTTATAAAAGAAAGTGAGTAGCTTTTCCCAGGTTCCTTGTTATGGATTTTGGTATCTACATTAGATATTAAAGCCTGCAAGCACCATCAGCACATGAAAGGAAATACTAAAGGAAAAGGAAATACAAACAACACAAAAAATCCTGCCTTTCTTCTCAGTTTTGTCCGGATGACTTTAATTAGGCAAATTACTTCATATTAAAACTCTGTTGAAATGCAAAGATTTTTAAAACATTTATAGTTTAGTCTTACTCAAAATCTGTAATATCTTTATTGTGCAAACCTTAAACATCACTATCAAATTAGAGAGTATTCATCAAGGGCCTGTTGATCAATAAAGGTCAATTCAAAGTTGTCTCTAAACAGAGGAAGGATTCAATTCAATTCAAAGGAATTGAAGAGTGAAAATTCGTGTGGGAGATGTGGACAGTACACAGGTGTCCTGACTGGCACCCACAGAAAAAGCAATTTGAGAACACAATTAATACTTGCACATATTCATCAGTTCTCCATATGTGCCTAGACAGCTGGTCCTCTTGGATTACAGAACTAAAATGGACTTTAAAAACAGTTAAAAAATACAGACAACAAATAAGAGAAAATATCATCAAGCAAGAATAAAGTTAATAAATTACAACTTCTCCTAATTAAAACTACAAACTCCATTTACTAAGGGTTGAGGTATGACCCTGGGGTTTTCAGAAGAGGCTGGGTTTGAGCTCACCCCTCTCTGACAGGACACCATTAAACACTCAGAGTCACTGGATCAC